CATATATATACAATGGAATATTACTCAGCCATAAAAAGAAACGAAATTGAGCTATTTGTAATGAGGTGGATAGGCCTAGAGTCTGTTATACAGAGTGAAGTAAGTCAGAAAGAGAAAGACAAATACCATATGCTAACACATATATATGGAATTTAAGAAAAAAAAAATGTCATGAAGAACCTAGGGGTAAGACAGGAATAAAGCCACAGACCTACTAGAGAATGGACTTGAGGATATGGGGAGGGGGAAGGGTAAGCTGTGACAAAGCGGGAGAGAGGCATGGACATATATACACTACCAAACGTAAGGTAGATAGCTAGTGGGAAGCAGCCGCATAGCACAGGGAGATCAGCTCAGTGCTTTGTGACCACCTGGAGGGGTGGGATAGGGAGGGTGGGAGGGAGGGAGACGCAAGAGGGAAGAGATATGGGAACGTATGTATATGTATAGCTGATTCACTTTGTTATAAAGCAGAAACTAACACACCATTGTAAAGCAATTATACTCCAATAAAGATGTAAAAAAAAAAATTTAATGGTTATACTCTACACTAAGAATTCATGCACCATAAACTATATAACTGTTTTCCAGTATTAGATTCTTCCTAGATTCTTTTCACTCGACTATTAGAGAAACCAAAGTGACAGAATCATAATACAGAAATCTTTGTGTGAATCTCTATTTCTTTAACACAATTCTCTAAAAATGAATCAAAGTATGAAATTTTTTTCAGGTTCTTGTTACATGTATTAATAAACTGCTGTCCAGAGAGCCTGTAACAATTTCAACTCCACGAACAGTGTATGACAGTGCCCATCTCCAATGCAGCTTTGGTAGAACTGAAACTATATATTTTTCCAAACATAGCATTTCATTATATGCTTATTTATTATTAGGGTACTAAAAATACAAATGTTATTAGCAATAAATTCTTCTCCTATAAATTGTAGGTTCATGCCTTTTGCTCACTTTTCTATTGATTTGCAAAAGGTATTGATACGATTAAGATCACTAATCCTTAGTCACTGGCTGTAAAACTGTGTCTTGGTTCCCCATTTTACCCTAACTTGTATTGTTTGGCATCTGAGCTTTGTGGATTTTTTTGTTTGTTTGTATAATATCAATATAATTAAATCTATCTTTTCTTTTGTAATTCCTTCCAATTCTTGGATTTAGAAGGGCCTTCTTAATCCAGAAATTTTAAACATATTCTCTTATAATGACTTCCATTTTACATAATTCTTTACTCCATTTAGAATTTTTGTGTACAAAAGTAAAACAAATTGATTTTGTGTCTGTAAGTTTTAATATAATAGTCCTGACTCATATTCCACATGTACTTTATATCACTAATACATAAATATTAATTGATTGCATCAATTAAAAGTTACTTCTGGGGCTTCCCTGGTGGCGCAGTGGTTGGAAGTCCGCCTGCCGATGCAGGGGACGTGGGTTCGTGCCCCGGTCCGGGAGGATCCCACATGCCGCGGAGTGGCTGGGCCCGTGAGCCATGGCCGCTGGGCCTGCGCGTCCGGAGCCTGTGCTCCGCAACGGGAGAGGCCACAGCAGTGAAAGGCCTGCGTACTGCAAAAAAAAAACAAAAAAAACAAAAAAAACAAACAGCAAGCAAATACAAATGATTTACCCACATTTTAATAAAGTTTTCTTACCTCCAACATGGCAACTAACTCTGATTTGGAAATGCCAATTCGGTCTCGGTCACAACTGTCTACTACATAAATGACTGCATCTGTGTTTGAATAATAACATCTCCAGTATGGCCTGAAGAAAATTCAGAAAGGGAGAATACATTATTATTTGAAAGAAGAAGAAACTGGTATGTTAATTCATATGCTAGGACTTGGCAGTGATGGGGTGGGGGGTTTTACTTGCCAATCCTTCCCCATCCATGCCAGAATCAATGCCATAATGATTCATTGTTTCTGATGGACATATATCATATCCCTCAGATGGGATGGGGTGGAAAGAATATTGATGAACATAAATCACAGGACCAAGGAGCTTCAGAATGAGTTCAGACTTTAGGCTGAACAAATATATTTATAATCTATAAAATCACTAAATGTACCGTTAAAAAAAGTTCCACACAGACCTGATTGTTACATCTTAACTAGAAACTCCTTAAGAGGAATGAGTTCTTTAAAAAAAAATTTTAGTATGATTTTATGTAACAGACATTAAACTGATCACTGAAGACACGAAGTAGAAATGGCTAAAATAAGAAATTGACTCAAAAGTGGTTCAAGAAATAAAATGAGTTACCGGGCAGCAGGATGTCTGGGGAATGCACTACTGATCTTTTAAGATGGTAAGTACCCTAGTGAGTGAGCAGTGACAGTCACTAAACATTCACAGTTGCCATGTCAAGCACAGGATGCTGGGCAGGAGACTTGAATTCCAGAGGGCATTTATGTTCATATTAGTCCTAAATGGTGGGCCCAAAAGGTATTTTTATGAAATCCAAAACAGTCTGTCTCACAGAGGAAGGGACTGACAAGAACTAACTAGAGGACTCTTTTTATTTAAAAACTAATGAAGTAATTAGGTCTTGAGATTTTCATGAAAAGATTTTTCATTGAAGTGATATCTGAAAAACTGGCTTCCTTAGATTTTAATTCTTTAGTTAAAATTTTTAATTCTCAGATTTTAATTGAGAGAATAAGGCCGTTTTACCTCATTTTAAACTAGGTGTCTCCCATTAAATTACAAAAGAAGACATATTTTGGTTTACTCCTGTTAACCCTAAAGGAGCCAATAAAGAAAGATTCAATACTACAAAATGATCTGCCCTTTGCACCATACCTGATACTTGTCTGTCCTCCTAAATCCCAGACTTGGAATTTTAGGTTCTTGTATGTTACCGTCTCAACATTAAATCCAATGGCTGGAAAAGAAATCAAATTAGCAGTATATGTAGACTAATACATTCCGTCTTCAAAGTATCCAATCTGACTTTCAGCAATTAATGGTAATTGCTGAATCACACTGTTAGTTCAAATATCATCCCACTTAAGATAAGACAGTATGCTGTGCTACACATGCACACATACGCACACCAATCAGCAAGATCAACACCACTTTCAGGGTATATAAGAACCCCCAGCTACCTCTGCAATTATATAATTCTTAGCTCAATGGAAATCCTATTATGTTAAACTCCCTTCAAAATACAGTACTGGCATACAAAAGTGTTCAGAAAGTTATATTTAGAAAGGACAGTTGCAGATGTATTACAAAAAACGAAATTTTGGTAGGTTGCAAATAAACAGGGAACAAAACCAAGAAAGCCTAGATAGACTCTAAACTTCAGTAGGTAAGGGCACAGCAATGGCTGTGTACCTCTTTATGGAAGCTGAGTTCTCTAAGGCTGGCAATCTCACAGACCCTCTGAAGACTTCCTCAAGAGCTCATTTGTAATAAGGTCATAGCGAGATGGTCAAAGGGGAGGAGTCCCATCCCTTTTCCCAGCCATCCTTCTTAGCTGGAGCTCTCGCATCACATGCCTAAGGCAAGATATTACTATCTTCCATTGAAAGGAATCTGAAGGAGGTGGAGAGGTTACTGAAAAAAACTTAGGAGCTACATATACAAATATTACTAAGATTTCACAAACTTAAAAAAAAATCAAAGTAAAAAATGACTTAACAGCTATAACTGGACAATTAATTTTTTAGATTTAAGTTTATACTGGCAAATGACGATTATGAGTATATGGCAAGTATAAAAAACCTGAGTGAAAAACTAAAAAGCAAGTTCATGATGTCTCCCTTAGAATTAAGCAGCAGGGTAATCACTGTCTCCAGCCTCAGTTAGGAATGTTGTTTATTTGCAAAGGACAAGGGCGTGGTATGAACCACATTTGCTGAAATGCAATCCACTGGGCTATGTGTATTGCAGGGGCCACGGTGACTCAACTGTAGCAGATTGAGTTGGGTGATTTTGAGAAGCAAAAACCAAGGAAACTGAAATTTACTGAAGGTGGCATAAAGAAGTAACAGATGACACAGGGTTTGAAAAGTTCTTCTTTCATAAAAGCTACACTTTTTTTTTAATCTGGAAATTTAAATAGTACTAAATATAGAAATACCTTGAGTGACAGAGTAACTTTAAAGGCATAATTTAAATATTCTTGAGCAAACTCTACAAACTATTAGTTTAAATGTACTAATCTTACTAATCTAAGTAAATTCAGGGCATCAAATGAAAATAGCATAAGTAACAGAACAGTCTTCTTATGTAGTAAATTAAGACTGTTGGAGAATATTCTTCTAAAATATCAATTGATTTAAAGTCAAGGTGTTTCTTTTCTTGATATTTTTAAGTACCAGATTCAACACTCAGTCTCTTCAACTCAGATCTTTAAAAATAATCAATAGAATTACTAAAGAGAAACTAATCTTAATCAAATAGTAACAAATACAGGAAAAAAACCACTTCACATGTAATAATATCACTTCATATCTATATAATTCTTTACACAGGTTAACAAAGTATTTTATATACTAGATTTATTTTCCCCTCAAAGCCAATGTATATTTATTATCTTCATTTTATCAACAAAGATACTGTCTCTCAATGAGATTAGGTGGCTTAACTCTACCTAACTTTTAAAACAGCCCTAAACAGCAGAACCCAGCCATGCACAGGGGTTCATAAATTACACCAAACTGTCTGTAAATTTATGAAAAAAAGTGTTATAAATATTATGCTCATAGTAGAAGTTTACGAACCTTATCAATTACATTATATATTTATTCAGAAATAAAGTTATGTTTGATGGAAAGAGAAAGCCCCTATAATTAGTTTATCATACCAACACTTACTAGGAATAGTAGTAACGACTTCTCCAACCTGTAATCTGTACAAAATTGTAGTTTTTCCTGCTCCATCTAATCCCAAAATTAAAATCCTCATTTCCCGGGTTCCAAACAGACTGGAAAAAATGCTTGAGAAAAAGCCACCTTAAAAAATAACAAAGATGTATTTCAAAATCATTTCATGAACTAGGCCCACAAAACATTTAATCTTACCCTTTGAAAGCTACAGCAAATTAAATAATACTGTAATCTTTTCCTCGATTCATAGGTGCCTATTTTTGCTTCCAATGAAATACATTATTCAACATCAAACTAGTAATTACTGATTGTTACCATGTCCTGGATACTGTGTCAGGCAGGCACAGAAGATACACTCAAAAATAAGAGAAACAGGACCACTGCCCTCATGGAGCTCACTTTCTAATCGAGAGAATATGGATATCTTAGCATGATCTCCTCACTACCCCCAGAAACCAAAGGGCAAACCAGAATGACAGTGGGACAATGAGGTCCTTGAACATGAAAAGCAATTACTGTTGTACAGTAAGTACCTTCAATCACTGATGCCACACACAATACCTAGTTATTTTACCAAGACATGGCAAAATTAAGAGCTGCAAGTCTGGAAAAATGAATCCACTATGGGTTAGAGAACGTTGAACATCTGTAACACAAGGGGTGTGACGTGACAAAATCCTTTCTACCTTTTACAGGTTAAAAAGAAGCAGAAGAATAAAACTGAAGGGGTTATGCAAAAAGACAAGAAAGCGCTTCTGACGTTCCAGACCAAGAAGTAAACTCCCCAGAAAATCGCTGAGCTATTTAAATAAGGCAAAGAATTTGCATCATTTGGAGGGTTGTAAACAAGTTAAGAAATCTGCACCTTCATTTGGGCTCTAGCGGGGAGGGAAGCTCTACCTGATGCTTGCGATGACAATATAGTTCCCTCAATCAGCACTCCAAAAATTGAGATTAAAATGTCATCGCTGACTAGTAATACACTCCCTGCCCATTTCCTTCTCCACCTTCTCTACAGGAAAAGATACAGGTAAGCAGACAAACGCCAAGTCGGCCGTAAAACATTACGAGCACCACCCTCTTTCGGGGTTTAAACTGACGCAGTCCCAGCGACCAGGGAGAGAGAATCCAGAAGCTCATCCTTCACCCAAGAAACCTGAGCGAACCTGCGACTGACACGCTGCCAAGCTTCGCAAGACCAGCTCCATCCAGCAAGTGGCGCTGGGTCCGAGGGGATGACGTAAAAGTTCACCGACCCGCGCTGCCCTCACCTCTGACCCCGCCGGGAGAAAGGAGAACGGGATAAGACGGGGGCGAAGGTTCGAGGCAGGGTCCACGCACACAGGTGAAAATCTAAGGTGAGTTGCGTCCTCAGCAGTCAGCGCCCTAAGACGCTGGCTACTCTGGGCTTTCCAGGCCGGCCCCTCTCCTCCTCCTCCAGACCCCAGCCCTCGGCCTCGGCCTCTCAGCGCGCCCAGGCTCCCTTCTCAGATTCCCTCACCCATGATGAACTGCCTGTCCTCCCTCGTCGACCGGCGGAGACTGGGCCCGGCCTCGGCAGCGACTCCTAATCGAGCCTCGGCGCCGCCACCTCCCCTCGCCTGGGCCTGCGCTCCGGCTCCGGCTCGGCCTCGGGCTCTGGTTCCCAGTGGGTTTCCTTGGAAGCCTAGTCAGCCAGCAACTTCCACGTCGGACCTCCCGGCGGGGGCGGGAGCGAGGCCGCCGCGACGCCGCCGCGACTGCGCGCCGGGAACGGCGGCTGAGCGTCCGCGCCGTCACTTTCGACGCAAGTCCCCGGCGCGCAGGGTGTAGATACTGCGGAAGCCGCAAGGAAAAAAAAAAAAAAAATTCAAGGACTCCAAGTCTCCCCTGCTTCTGTTTTCTTGGACAGGAAAGGCTTCCGAAATAGGGAAGTTCGAATTTTCATTTTAAATTCTGACACCAAGAAGTGGTGAATCCGCCAACCGGGAATGCGCGTCGGGCCTCGATGCGGCAGCCTGACTGGAAGCGGGCGCAGCTTGCGGCGTCGCAGAAATGACTTGTCCTGAGGCGCCCTGCGGGCGTTGACCCGATTTTCCACTGGCTCCTTCCTCCGACTAGGAAAGAGGGCTACCTTATAATAATAGGAAGAGCCCCGCGCCACCAATGCGGAGCCGCCTAAACTGAGGCCGCCAAAGAGACTTTTGGCGTCGCAGTGGCCTGCAGGGTCAGCGTTAGCGTCCCTCCCTCCTTTCTTCTACCTGTACCTTCTCCGATGCTAGCTAAAGGCAGTCATTACTCTATAGAAAAGGTATGTATTTTGAAGGCAACATCGTTTTTCAAAATGCGGTCATTCCTGTGACTATTGATCTGGTTTTACAGTTCCTGCTTACCAAAAAGAAACGTTTGAGGAAACAAGTATAGTAGCGTGCTAGAATTAAAGGTAAACATTTAGTTTATAAGTCTGTGGAATTTTATTCTTCAGACAAACATTTGGAATTGACCTCACCTCTTTAAAGTCTTTGGTCAAATGTTATTAATATTTAAAATTGCAACCTACTCTACATCCCCTTTATCCTGATTTTTTAGTAGAAGGTACCACTAAACATAATTTACTTATTATGCTTATTTATTGTCTACTGCCTCTCACTAGAATGTAACATCTATGAATGCAAGTATTTTTGTTTATTTTGTTCACTGTTTTGTTCTTGTACTTGGGCACTAAACAAATATTTGAGAGAATGTGTTGAATTATACGTTTTTAAGGCCAATAACATAAACATTAGTTAACTTAAACATATATTATGCAATATTATTAAACTTGTTTCCTAAACTAGGCATATCTGAACCACCTGTCCTATTTGATAGGAGAGGCCAAGCTCTCTTCTTCAAGAAAGTTGTTATATTTGAAGAGGAACCACCAGATGGTGGTATTGCTTCAGGCTAATTCTCAGCAGAATGAGATCAGTTGGTCTAATTGATTAAAAGTGGAGTAGACAATCCTTTTCGAATCTTACGGTCCAGTAATAATTTATTAAATTTTAAAACGTGAATGTTTAAATGCAGTCCAAGCAAGTAAAACAATTTCAAAATTCTTTTGACTATAAAGCCACAATACGATCAAATAAGTTTAAAATTTTAAAGCTGGAAGGAACCTCAATTCCAAACATCTCAATTGCACATGAAGAAGTAGAAACAAGCTAAGTGATAGAGCCAGGACAGCAACTCTGATCATTTGACTTCCAGGCCTGAAGTAACTGCATTATGATGCCTTCTGTAACTGAGCCGTGATCTATACATTTGGTAAATGGATTTGCAAACACATGACCATACTGTAGTTTCCTAAGTTAGAAACTTAAACATTTCTGTGCGTTACATTACCTAGTGGAAGTTACTTTCTTTTGCTCAGATTTTATTCCATGAAGCAGAAACCTATGAAATATAATAAGTATAAATATATAAGTATAATAAATATAAGCTTCAGAAGGACTTAATGCTGTGTATTTATAATTGTTTTTTAAACTAAGGAATGTTTTGAAATCATAACTAGGTGTGTGATTTTTTTTCATACATCTTTATTGGAGTATAATTGCTTTACAATGTTGTTTTAGTTTCTGCTGTACAACAAAGTGAATCAGCCGTATGCATACATATATCCCCATAGCCCCTCCCTCTTGTATGTCCCTCCCACCCTCCCTATCCCACCCCTCCAGGTGGTCACAGAGCACATCTCCATGTGCTATGCGGCTGCTTCCCACTAGCTATCTATTTTACATTTGGTAGTGTATATATGTCAATGCTACTCTCTCACTACGAGGTGTGTGATTTTCACAAATTATGTATTGTATTTCAAATGTTTCATTTCAATAACATGTACTTTGTCAAAGAATTTCTCTTTAGACTAAGGGGTCTTCTTTTAATTGAGAAATAATTCACATACAATAATATCATTTTTAAGTGTCCAATTCAGTGGTTTTTAGTATATCCGCAAGGTTTGCAACAGTCACCACTGTCTAATTCCAGAATGTTTTCATCACCCCAAACAAAAACTCTATACCCATTAAGCAATAACTCCCTATTGCTCCCCTCCTAGCTGCTGATAACCTTTCTGTAGCTACGAATTTGCCTATTTTAGATATTTCATATAAGTGAAATCATACACTATTTGTCCTTTTGCGTCTGGCTTATTTCACTTACCATAATGTTTTCAAGGTTAATCCATGTTGTGGCATGTATGAAATACTTCATTCCTTTTTACTGCTAAGTAATATTCTGTTGTATGGATATACCATGTTTTGTTTATCCATTCATCAGTTGATGGATATTTGAGTTCCCATTTTTTGGCTCTTTGAATAATGATGCTACAAACATTTGTGTACATGTTTTTGTGGAAATACACGTCTTCAGTTCTCTTAGTTATATGCCTAGGAGTGGAATCGCTGGGTCATATGGTATCTCCACAACTAGAGAAAGCCCGCATGCAGCAACGAAGACTCAATGCAGCCAAAATTAAAATAAATAAATTTATTTAAAAAAAAATTGTCTTGGCTATCCTGGATCCCTTGCATTTCCATATTGAATTTTAGGATCAGCTTGTTTGTTTATGCAAAGAAAGGCAGTTGGAATTTTGATAAGGATTTTACTGACTTCATAGATTAATTTGAGGAGTATTGCCATTGTAATAGTGAGTCTTCCCCATTCATGAATGTGGGATGTTTTTCCATTTATTACGGTCATCTTTACTTGTTTTCAACAACATTTTATAGTTTTCAGTGTACAGGTCTTGTACCTTTGGTTAAACTAATTCCTGAATATTTTGAGTTTTTTGAGACTAAGGGTTCTTAACCCTTAGTCGGCACTTCCATCATATTCTCATTTGAGGTACAATTTCAAAATTTCATAATATTCTTTTGAGAGAATAGTTAACAATGAGCACCCATGTACCTAACACCCATCTGTAATAATCATCAGTTTATGGCCATACTTCATAGCCACTCTTGTTCCAAAATCATCCCTACCATTTGCACCCACTCACTAAATTCTTTGTAATCAGGTGTCCACACTTGTACCAGTCAGCTGTGGCTAGGGGAACAGTGTCCACTGGAGGATCATATTTGCTTTCATATGTACCATATGCATGAATAAGGGTGCAGGAAGGGGGAAGTTATAGTAGCTGGACACACTAGGTATTCACAGTTATTTTCTAATACCAGTATTTGTCCCCTTGGAGTGGATGTGGCTGGCATTAAGTACAGTATTAATGGCTCTTCCTAAACTATGTCTTGCTGTGATTGTCTTCTGCCCTGGAGAGCTGAGGAAGCAGGACCTCATTCACTAGGGAGGACATAACACACGCCACAGTAGCCCAATGCCTATGGTCTCAGATCTTTCATAAACCACCCTCTTGACCAACCCAGCCCCTTCCTCCCACCTTCCTCTTTTTCCTGAGGGCAAGACTGCCTTGTCTCTCTTATCGAAGTTATTATACCAGAAGTGAGAGTTTCTCTCTCATTGCTTTATTTCCTCTCAAATCTCATTATAGAAAGGTGGGGGCATTTCTTATTTTGAAATTCTTGCCAGCTGGAGAAACCTGGGATAAGGAACCGTTTTATTTTCTAACCCAGGAAGCCTGGGCTCTCTGTATCTCCTCCAAATTATTCTTACAAACTGAACAGTTCTCTAGTGTCTTTCTCTCTTCCCATTGCTTATACTCAGCTCTGAGAAGCCAAATGACACGCTGAATATTCTGCCTGGAAATATCTCAGCCAGCTAGGCATGTTCATTCACTGTGTTATCTATATTTCAAGTTACTACAGGGAACATTTTTATCCACTGTTGCACAGCTGTTTACCCTAAAAGATTTTCGCCAGTCCTTCAGCTCTCACTAACAGCCTCTTCATTTTCCCAGCCTCCACCCACAGTATGGTTCCAAAGTCAATGCCATGTATTTTAAATTTCTGTGTACCCCATCTCTAGTACCAATTTCTATATGTCAGTTGTTTATTGCCGCGTAACAAACTGCTTCAAAATGTAGGGACTTAAACCAGCAGTAATTATTATTTATCACAATCATATGGATTGGCCAGGCAGTTCTTCTGATCTTGCTGGAGGTTATTCACACAGCTATATTCAGCTGGTACATTGGCTGACTTGGTTGGCCTCTCTCTCCATGTGGTCTTTCATCCTCACAAAAGCTAGACTGATCTTGACATGGCTGTGGCAGTGCCATACTCCTAGGTATAGACGTAACAGAAATGCATGCACATGTGTACCAAGAGACATGTCTAAAAATGTTTACATAGCATTATTCATAAAAATAAACTGTAAACAACCCAAATATCTGTCCATAGTAGAATGGATTCATAAATTGCAATGTATTTACATTATGGACATCTATATAACAAGGCAAATGAAAGAAGTACAGTTGTATACTGGAGAAATATAAATACATAATTGAACAGAAGAAGCAGACACCAAAGAAAGCATACTATGTATGATTCCGTGCATATAAGTTCAAAACCAGGCAAAACTGAACTATAATGTAAATTTTTGGAAAGGAGAAAGTGGGTAGGTGGAAGCATGAGGAAAGTTTCTGGAATGTTCTGATATTCTGTTTTTTGACCTGACTTCTTTGCTTCTTTGATAATTCATTGAATAGTACATTTATATTTTGTGTGTTTTTCTATGTGTTATATTTTTTAAAACATTTGAAGAAACCATTAGGATGACATTTCCACCTATCTAACTGGTAAATTTTTTAAGAAGTGGCACGTGGGAAAATTGTCGCTCTCATCCACTGTGCAATCTTTTGGATGACCATTAGGCAGCATCTACATACAAAATTTTAAATGCACATATACCCCTGACAAAAATTTCGCTTACGGGAATTGACATAGATGTGCTTGCACATTTACACAGCCACATTTGTATTATGCTATGCATATGCGTGAAATTCTGAACGTTTGTACAAGAAACCCTTAGGAATGGTTACTCTGCAGAGTAGACTGCAGATCTGAAGTGCAGGGAGACACTTTTTCTTGTATACCCTTTGTGCTGTTTGAATTTTATACCATGGATTACTCTTTTAATAAAAGTAAACTAGTTGGCTTTTTTTGCTTATTTGTTTCTACTTACCCAAGGTCATCTGGTTAAAAGGGACAGAGCCTGGATTTGAGCCCTAGTCTAACACCAAAGCCCACACCATCAACCATAACTCTGAATTTTCCTTGTGGAGTCTCTGTTTTCTCTCCTAGAAAGTGAATGTATTTGTCTAGATTGCAAGGGTCTCTTTGGAGACCGACATGGAAGCCC